GAATGACATTATCATTTTTTATTATAAAAATAAATAAAAGCATTTTTTTAAAAAATAATATACTTTTAATAAATTATATATAAATGATTTTTTAATAATATATAAAAATAGAATAATATATTTTTAATAATATAAAAAATAATATATTTTTAAAATAAAATAATATATTTTTAAATTATAAATAAAAAATAATTTATTCTTAAAAGTAATATTATTTTTAATATACAAAAAATAATATATTTTTAATAATATTTGAAAATAAAAAGTAATTTTTTTTTAATAATATATATTTTATTTTTAATTAAACAGTAAATAAAAATAAGTTTTCAATTTTTTATTTGAATTTTATTTTTTAAAATAATATATTTTTACAAATATTTAAAAATAAAGTAATATATATTTAATATTTTTCAATAATATATTTTTAATAATATTTTTTTAAAGGTAATATATTTTTAATATATAACAAATAATATATTTTTAATAATACATAAAAGTAAAATCTCTTGGGGGCAAGTCTGGTTTTTGGGTCCACCGCCGCTATCGTCTGCAATGCCACGGGTATGTGTGCGATAGCAAGACTGATGGAGAAAGACTCTTGAGGATAGAGCTTGGTTGATTAAATAATATTTTTTTAATTATATATAAATGCTTTTAGTTTTATTTTTATATAAGTATGTAATATATCTAATTAAAAAATAAATAAAAATAAGCTTTCAATTTTTTTATTTGATTTTTTTTGAAAAAAAATAATTTTATCTCTATATTTTAATCATGATTTATAATATATATTATATAGTTATTTTTTATTATTATTTGTTACATTTATTTTTTGAAATATTGATTCCTACACACATGGGAATGGGAAAACCTTCCATTTACTATAGAATGGTTAATCCCATGAAGATGGGTTTTACCATTCCCATTGGAATAGTCATTTCTTCCAAAAAAAATATACCAATCATGGGATTAAGAATGAATAAGGGAATGATCATTCCATTCTCATGTCATTTTTCTACCAATCATACCATTAAAGTTATTCAAAGAATTTAGAACTTTGAAGGTCAACTGTGCATATACGTTAAAACCTCTTTAAATTAATAAATTATTAATTTATTGATATAATAATATCTCTATTAATTAATAAAATCCTCCAACATTATTAATATATAGAGGTTTTACTCTATGCTATTTAAAACATGTGGCCAAAATTTTTATAGTATAAGAAAAATATGAAAAACGTTTCTCTATTTATTCTATAATAGTAATAATTTTATTCTAATCCAACGGTACGTAAAATTCTTCGTTCTCATTATCATCATCTTCCCCGTACATGGCAGCTTCTTCACTCACGGCCGCCGTCCCCCGCCTTCGCTCCGCCACTAACAGACCTCTCCTCCTCTCTCCATTACCAACCCCCTTCTTTAATCCTAAGGTCAATTAGGAGAATAAACTTGTGTTTGTCTATTATCGTCTAATTTTACCTTTTCTCTTCAATTTATCGAAATGTGAGATCTTTCGATTTCCCCCGCCATCATTTTGCAGGTTTCTAATCAGCTCAGAACCTTAAAATCGACGACTACATTGATGGCGTCCAAGGAGTCCGCGGATAACAACCCTGGCCTTCATACTAATTTTGACGAGGCAACAAAGGGCTATTTTTTACAGCAAACTGTAATCAAGCTTCTTCTTATATATTTCTAAATGTCCACTTCCGCACTATTACATATATTTCAAATCAAAATTCCTTTTTCTTCCTGGATGACACTGCTGCACATTGGTGACCGTTGCCACTATGTTGCAAATGGCTTGGTGAAATTTGTATTCACTATGATTTGTCACCTTACAAAGTGTAAATATCCCTTAGTTTGGTAGAATGTTTGTAATTGTACTTTTGTAGCCTTTGTTGCAGTCCTGATTGGTACGTTTGATTTTAGGAATTTTATCTAACACGTTTTTGGTTTTACCTTTTCAGATGATTCGGGTAAAGGATCCGAAAGTCAGTCTTGACTTCTACTCCCGGATAATGGGCATGTCGTAAGTGTTCTTATAGGTTCCCTGAAAGAAACTTGTTTCTGGTTTTCAGCTCTTTTTGCTATTAGTTCTTTATTTTCTGAAGGTGCCATAAATGCTAATACATATAGTAGGATCTGTGTGTCGGTATTACCTCGTTTTATTACACCTGCTTGTGTTGTTTTACTTAAGTATTTGATGTTTATGTGTGATTGTTTCAAAAGACTGTAACTTCACTAATTTAGAGTTCCGGATTATTTGATTAGTAGTCTTATTGTTCCGATTTATGTACTTGGTCGTATTCATGTTATTAGTTTGTTAACTTGGCTAGACCAAAATGTTTATGTTGCCGATATGTTTGAATTAGACTATTACTGCATTTCACACTTTAAATTTCTTTATCAAATCATTATCCCGAATGCATATCCCATGGCTTTGTTTTGATTCCAAGTGAATACGCTTTATTATGCGTCTTTTTTGTTCACGATTTTGAACAAAATAGATAATAGTTTGGATGGATTAAAGCTGAAAATAAAGTTTCACACATGGAAGTAATAATGGATTAATTTCGCAATTATTTTCAGGTGAAAAAGTTCTGTTTGAATAATTACTGAGCAAAACAAGGTCATTATTCGTGATTATCTTACTGACACAGGTTGCTGAAAAGGTTGGATTTTTCAGATTTGAAGTTTACTTTATACTTTTTGGGATATGAGGTAAATTCTCAACCCTTAAGTATACTGTATACATATACAATGTTTATGTTTTGGCTAATAATAGAATTTGCTAATTATTCCGACATAGAATTTGCAAATTTACTGGTTTCTCAAATCCATCCATGTCTGGCTACTTAGGACGTGTCATCAGCTCCAAGTGATCCCATTGAGCGCACGGCCTGGACTTTTGGTCATAAAGCTGTTCTTGAGCTTACGCAGTACAATATCTAACTTCATTTTATTTGAAATTAGTACATTCATCTTTTAGGAAAATGGTCTCTTCTCACGCCCAAGTCTTAAAGATTTTTTACTACAGCAACTGGGGCACTGAAGCCGATCCTGAGTTCAAAGGTTATCACAATGGAAACTCAGATCCTCTTGGTTTTGGTAAGCATAACATTTGATTCTGTCTCCATCTTTGTGTGATTGGTGATGCTCTTGTTTGGGTTTCTCTTTTAAACAAGAATTGTTTTTAATATGAAATGTTAGATGTTTGTCACTACAGCGCACTTACCTACACTACTGCAACGGATTTATCACTCATTGTCATTTAAGCAGATCCATGTTATAGTTTTTGTAGAATATTCATCTATTTGATGAAATGCGAAAACAGATTTGTACACGTTGCATTTATATCACCAACTTTAAAATTGTTGTGTAAGAAATGATATATGATGAGTCTTCGTGTCTTTAGTTGATCAGTGTTGTTAGCAGTCTCAAGCTTCTTGATACTTTTTTTTTTTATCTGTCGTTTGATTCATTTCAGTTTTGTATGTGCGCTCAATAAATTAGCATATTATACATACCATTACATCATATCATTTACAGATCCATAATTTGTGTCATTTGTTTCTATCTTTATTTTATTGCAGCAACTCTTAATAGGACAATTACAAATTAATAGTTCGCCTCTCTATATTCCTCTAGATAAAATCTCTTATTCGGATAGCTTCATATTGTTGTCAGCAACGCTAGTGAAGTTCTAATTTCCAAATAGATGACTCCTGTTGAAAAAAAGATGAGCATTTTCTGAGCGGCTCGGCTCTTTTTGGTATTTCATAATTGGATGATTAACATATTCTTCATACTTGCAGGACACATAGGTATTACTGTTGACAATGTGCATAAGGCATGCGAGAGATTTGAAAAATTAGGAGTGGAGTTTGTGAAGAAACCTGCTGATGGTAATCAATTTATTTTCATGAAGTAAATGTGTTGTGATGTAAAGCTTAATACGAATGGGAAATAAATTGAGATACTCTCTCAAGAACTGATAAAATTTTCAATCGTTCCAAAAACTGAAAATCCCTAACCCTTCCAACAACATATAAATGAAAGGAAAAATAAAGTTTTCTAATCTTGCCCCACAATTGCAAGATAATTATTTTCCTACCCAAAAATACTAATTACCTAAAAGAAATAAAATAAAATAATACGAATAATAATGAGACATCAAAATCGGCTAAACCCGAAAATGGTCATATTTATTTAAATAAGCAATGGCGGTCTCGTCTTCATCATCCTCCCCCGGTTGAGGAGGATTCGGCCTCGAATTCGAACCGGTCTCGTCTTCTTCCGAGTTGTCCCCCACAAATGGCACCAAATGCTTGACGTTAAAAACGTCAGAAGTACGAATATGAGAAGGAGGCGAAGACGATAAGCATTAGGATTGATTTTGTCAATTACCTCGACCGGGCCAATCTTCCGGGCCGAAAGTTTGTTATACTTGTGGGCCGTAAATCAATCCTTCGTCAGAACGGCCCAAACGTAGTCACCAACCGGAGAACTCCACATGGCGACGTCGCAAATCCACCCGGTGCTTGTAAGCCGCGGTAGTAGCCTCCAACCGGGCCCGCGCCACCTCATGGGTCGCCTTCAAATCCGCAATCAAGTCCGCAGCTCGCCGATTAGCCACACCCCCGGGCGGTAAGCTCAACAAGTCCGACGGACCCCGAGGTCGAACCGCGTACACAACCTCGAACGGAGACAAGCCCGTGGCCCAACTGATAGCTGAATTATGAGCAAATTCAGCCTGCCCCAACCGTTGGTCCCAACTGCGAATATTATCACCCACTAAGCAACGAAGCAGGTTGCCTAAAGACCGATTCACGACCTCTGTCTGGCCGTCCGTCTGGGGATGGTAAGCACTGCTGAAATCCAAACGAGTGTTCGCCATGCGCCACAAGCTCCGCCAGAAGTGGCTAAGAAACCGTGTATCGCGATCCGAGACAATCGAGGATGGAAGGCCATGAAGACGGTACACCTCGCGAAAGAACAACTGAGCCACATGAACCGCATCAGTGGTCCTCTTGCAGGGGATAAAGTGGACCATCTTCGAAAATCTGTCCACCACGACAAAAATGGAGTCGAACCCACGCTGAGTACGCGGCAAACCCAGTACAAAGTCTATACTGACGGCACTCCACGACTGCGAAGGGATGGGAAGGGGTCGATATAATTCCGCATTCTACGCCACCCCTTTCGAGACGTGGCAAACACGACACCGCTCCACAAACCGGCCCACGTCCCGCCGAAGGGACGGCCAAAAATAGGACCGCCCGACCAAATCAACTGAACGGTCCCGCCCTACGTGTCCCGCACCATGCAGATCTGCAATGAGTTTCTGTCGAAGGTTGCAGTCTGGAATATAAAGTCGAACACCGTAAAACAAGAACCCGTCAGACAAAGAGTAGTCCTCGACAGGACCATCGACAGGACCATGCGCAAGGCGTCGCAAGAACACATCCTCAGCATACAACTCCCACAACACATCAAAGCCCACAACAGAAACTTGCATCTCGGATAGCAACAGTGCACGCCGACTCAAAGCGTCTGCCACCCGGTTCGAAACTCCCGAACGATGCTTAAGAACAAATGTGAACTGCTGGAGAAAAGCTGTCCAGGAGGCATGTCGAGCAGAAATATTATCCTGAGAGGCCAAGTGTTGTAAGGCCTCGTGGTCTGTGAATAGAATAAACTCCCGATGAAATAAGTAATGCCGCCAATGACGGACAGCACGAACGATGGCATAAAACTCCACATCATAAGTGCTATAACGAGTCCGAGGGCCGAAAAGTTTCTCACTGAAGAAAGAGACGGGACGACCCTCTTGGCTGAAGACAGCACCAATGCCCACCTTTGAGGCGTCGCATAAAGCTCAAACGCCCTCGAAAAATCCGGGAGAACAAGCACAGGAGCCGATGTCAACTTCTGCTTGATCAAGGAAAAGGCTGTCTCTGCCTCCGGAGTCCAGACAAACGACTTCCCATGAAGGCAATCGGTAATCGGGACCGTAATAGAGCTAAAGTGGGAAATAAAGCAACGGTAGAACGAAGCAAGCCCGTGAAAGCTCCGAGCCTCAGTAAATGACGTCGGGGTTGGCCAATCACGAATAGCAGCCACCTTGCTATCGTCTACACGGATGCCAGCTGCTGAAATAACAAAACACAAGAACATCACCGAATCCACCAAAAACACACATTTGCGAGGTGCCGCAAAAAAAGGCTCAGAACGTAAAACAAGAAGTACCTCGCGAACATGCTGTAAATGCTCCTCCAGTGAACGACTGTAAATAAGAATATCGTCGAAATAAACGACGACACTCTTGCCAATAAAATCTCTCAGTGCCTGATTCATCACCCGCATGAACGTACTAGGGGCATTAGACAAACCGAAAGGCATCACCATCCACTCTAAAAGTCCCTCACGGATCTTGAAAGCCGTCTCCCATTCATCCCCTGGCCTGAATCTGGTGATAGCCGCTACGAAGGTCCAGTTTGGTGAAAATAGTAGCACCATGGAGCTGATCGAGCAAAAATCATCCAATCGCGGTATAGGAAAACGGTAACGAACCGTGATTTTGTTGATGGCGCGACTGTCAACACACATGCGCCAGGACTGATCCTTCTTAGGAATGAGGAGAGCGGGAATCGCACACGGGCTCAAACTACGACGCACCGACCCCCGCTGAAAAAGCTCCTCAACCTGTCTGCGCAACTCCTCATGCTCCAACGGGCTCATCCGATAGTGAGGGCGATTAGGGAGAGCCGCCCCCGACACCAAGTCAATGTGGTGTTGAATGTCACGAAGGGCGGTAAACCCGAAGGTAGGTCCTCCGGAAAAACGTCAGCAAACTCAGATAATAAAGGACGAATGGCCAACGGAGGTACCTGCTCGTCAACCTCATCCGCCCCCAACAATAGCAAAACCACTGAAGAATCTCGCATTGCTGTCACAAAAGGACTGAAAAAGAAAAAGGACTGAAGAAGCGGGTTTTGCTGGCTGCACTGCACGAGGTGGAGAAGGAACTAGGATAATTTTGACCCCACCGAATAGAAAGGAATACGTGTTCTGGCACCCGTCATGAGTGGCCGCTCTATCATATTGCCAAGGACGGCCCAACAGCAAATGACACGCATCCATCGGGACCATATCACACCATACCTGATCCCGGTAAGTCGGTCCAATGGAAAAATACACGAGTGCCCGACGGTCAACAGTTACCGCCCGGTCTCGCTGTATCCACGCCAAAGTGTATGGTTGTGGGTGAGGCTCACACGAAAGTTGTAATTTGTCAACGGCCTCCTGAGAAATGACATTTTCACAAGCACCAGAATCAATAATAAAACGACAAATTTTATTACCCATCGTGCATGTGGACTCAAAGAGGTGGTTCCGCTCGCCGGTTGTCTCACTCGAACCCTTGGGGGCCAAACACGTACGCCGAAGTACCAAGGCTGTCCCGACATCCCCGCTAACAAATTGTTCAATCTCGCTTACCTCGTTATCGTAAACCGCCGACCCGTCATATTCTTCCGCCATGTCTACGTCTCCACCATCCTTCGTGAAAAGAGCACGCGACCCAGCCCCTTTTGGACACGCCGACTGCCGATGGCCCGAAACAGCGGAGGCCCGCCACCGTACGAGCTGCTGCCGAGGACAGCTGCTGGCCGCCACTACCGCCGGACCGCTGGTATGGCCCACCAGCCCCGCCGCGCGCGTCTGTGCAGCCCCCTGGCCCAAGCCACCACTCGACGAGACAACTGGCCGCGGCTGAAATGCCGCGCCTCCCAATCCTCCGCCTTGCCGCGAGAATGACCCGAAAGCGGGACCCATTTTTTAGGCCAACTGGATCTCGGCAAGAATGGCTCGTTGGTGAGCATCTGAAACTGAATCCGGGCGAAAAAGATTTAATGTATCTCGCAACGACGCCCGCAAACCTCCAACATAGCGTGACACCAATTGATTCTTAGTCTCCCGTAACTCAACACGAGTCAGGAGACGATAAAACTCGTTCGTGTAATCATCCACCGAACGAGAACCTTGGCGCAAATTCTCTAACTGTTGGTACACAAGACTATCATATTTAAATGGCACGAATTCACGCTCTACATACTTGCAAAACTTCATCCAAGAGGATAATTCCGGCTTCCCTTGTCGATGCCGCATACTTGTTAACTGCATCCACCAAGTCGCCGCCCTACCTCAAAAGCGGGTGGCGACGAAAGCAACACGCTTCTCCTCCGGCACTCCCTTAAACCGAAAGAAGGCCTCCACGGCTGCCCACCATTCAATAAATTCCGACCCATCGACCCCTCCAGCAAACTCCAATATATCCACGCGAAGCCCCTGATCCCAACGTGACTCATCTCCCCCTTCTATAGGGCGCCTGCCGTCACGTCGGTCCCGACCCCTTCGAACAACTCCCACCCGTTCCCCGTAAGCGGCCCGTGGCTGAAAATCCTCCTCACGGCCCTCCCAGCCCCGGCGAAATGGGTCCTCGTCGTCCGAGTCCGAAGTCGCGCTCTCCCGCGGTGGCGGACGCCGTCTGCGCTCCTCTCCACCACCACGGAAATCCCACCTTCCGTCGTCACCGTCCGGCTCGCTGACGTCCTCCCACACGTTACCCTGGTGCGGGTTCCGCCAACCGCCATCTCGGTTATCGCTGTCACGAAACCCTAGCCGACCACGACCACCGCCGCCACCCATCCGAGCCGCGCGATCGTCACCCGCCGGTGTGCGTCGTTGTCCCTTCGCGAACGGGTTGTCCGCGCTTAACGTCTCCTCGTCGTCGTCTTCGCCGGACAGAAGCGGTTGTCCACGGTGGCGGGGCGCCCCACCAAATCCGCGACCTCCCCGACCTCCGCGATGCCCTCCACGCGCGCCCCCGTCGACGGCGTCGCGATTCGCACGAGCATCTGCCATCAAAGTACGCATCGCCTGCTGCAATTCCTCCATCCCGGTTGAAAGGTCCGTGAAACGATCATCCATACCTTGAAATCGATCTTCCATCCTCTGGAATAGTTCATCAACGATGGTGTCGTTAACCTTCTTCGGCGGCATCGAGGATCGCTGCTGGTCTCTGGGGACCAACTGATGTAGAGCTTAATACGAATGGGAATTAAATTGAGATACTCTCTCAAGAACTGATAAAATTTTCAATCGTTCCAAAAACTGAAAATCCCTAACCCTTCCAACAGCATATAAATGAAAGGAAAAATAAAGTTTTCTAATCTTGCCCCACAATTGCAAGATAATTATTTTCCTACCCCAAAATACTAATTATCTAAAGGAAATAAAATAAAATAGTACGAATAATAATGAGACATCAAAACCGACTAAACACGAAGACGGTCATATTTATTCAAATAAACAATGGCGGTCTCGTCTTCACCATGTTGTGAAGAAACCTGCTGATGGTAATCAATTTATATTGAAAAATGGCATTCTGAAGCCAACTCTAATCTCAGACCTTGGAATATATAATAAATGTTTGCTCATTTTTTTGTCACTAAAATTGATGTTCATTGACGAATCTGAGCCTTATTGGCCACCTTCTGTTTTTTTTGACATAGGGATGAATGTTACGCATACTTCTAATTTTAAAGTCGAGTCACTTAACCATGCAAATCTTCCAATATTTTGGTGATTCGGCATATATATATATATCTTCCCTTTGTAACTATTACTATATGCCATTTCATTTACTTGAATAATTTCCAGACATTGGTATAATTTTATGATGTGCAAGTACCATTCTTGTTCATAGACGAACTACTTTTATTCCAGGAAAAGTCAAGAACATAGCATTTGTTAAGGATCCTGATGGCTACTGGATTGAAATATTTGATACGATAAACATTGCTAAAGCAACTGCTGAAGCCGCCGTTTGATCCATCGTTGTTTTTTTTAGGTAACCATCTCATTTCTAAATATGATGTTGTATTCTAAGGATCTCATCATGCTTTTATGTTCAGCTTTATGAAGTTGACATTCATGCCACCTGAGAAATTTTTTACTTTATCTAAAATACATCATATTTTACTCTTGTGATCTAATCCTTTTTATCGTTCTATTTTGACATTCATGTGAATGTAAGCTTCCTTTTCATTTTCTTGTTAAAAAGTCCTACAACATTTGGACAGGGTGATACTTGCACTGACCTTGTAGGCCGTCTAATAATAGCCTTTTTCTGTTGTTCCTGATACAAAAAGACATTGTTTTGATAATTCTTTTTGAAATGCTAATACATTGGAATACAATTACTAACAAAATATGAAGCTTAGCTCGTAATCCTAATTCCTTTATACTTACTGTCTTTTCTCTTCCGTGTTATCTGCTTTCATCCTGTTCTATGTTCCTTTGCATGTATGCAGTTTGGCAATTTATGTGACCATAAATGAGTTACTTTCTTAAAACTGACTACTGCAATCATTTAATTGAGACGACTGGATGTCT